GCTACAAAAACAGCAGCTCAATTTTCCTCTCTGTACACTCACCCACACGAGCTGACAGGAATTTCACGAGCGGGATATGTNTACGACGAGGTTTGTCTGTTCATAATCGATCAATTAAGGGAAGTAGAACACACCTCCATATGTTCGTTCTTGCCAGTTCAACTCCTCTAAGCTGTAAGTCCCCATTCTACCATACCCAGTTTTTCATTCTGAATACTGTGCCAAATATGAGCTGCTCAAGTTATGAGCATTACTCTACCACAGGCCAGGCCGTCATACGATCTCATATGTCTGACCTGCCTCTTCTGCTTCGTACAGTTCTGGGACGTTGTGCACTGCCTCCCCTGTGCCTGTTCTGTGATGACCGTCGACAGAACATCCTCTGCACCGTAAGTGCCATGGAAGGACAAGGGCTCAGGGATTGAAGACGCAGTGAGGGGATCATATGAACGCATGGGGGAAGGCAGCTGGAACAGGTTGAGAAGATTATGACCACTGTTATGACGTAACTCAAATGGTTTGTTGGATTCTAGCAATGTTCGTCTCCTTTTTCATGTTCGTAAATGTGTTCGCACTCAAATTGATCTCATTGGTTTGCTTTCAATACTTTACAACTTAATGTTCTTGAGAACTTCCCGCCCTGCAATCCAAATCATTCAGAGGGCCAAACTCAGCTGCATAAGGGTTAAGTCCCAGTGCTTTTGATTTCCATGTTGTTTCCATGTGCACAAGACATTTGAATTATTTTTCTACTTAACAAGTTGGAAGCAGATGATATTTCAAACAAGACAATGACTTAACTGGACTCGTTAATGCCAGGTAATGGCCCTCAGGCTCAAGGTAAGTTTTTAGTATTTACAAAACATACTGATACTATTCATAGTGCCGTGTTCATATCAACAACAACTACACGGCCAGATGGGTAGCCCAAACATATTTGGCTGCCCCAAATTGAGGAAGACCAAAAGTTGCGATATTGGGAAGGGATATAGCAGTCACGGTGATTGGCCATTATCCAGTCACCGTTATGTGATAACTGGGTAGAGAAATTCATGCCGAGTGTAGGTTGCTGTGAGGGATAGATGATGTGGAATTTCCCAGGGGTAGATTTATTCACCCTACTGCCGTCGGGCAATGTGGTCTCTGAAGTAAGTATTGAGTGAGAATTTCCTGCTGTCAGATTCCAAATTCGGACTGTTTTGTCCAGTGATCCAGAGACAACTCAGCTGCCATCCTGTGAGAATGCAACAGAATTCACCCAACTTGTGTGGCCCTTCAGCTCAGCCTCCACCTTGCCCATCATCACATTCCAAATTCGGACTGTTTTGTCAGATGATCCAGAGACAACTCGGCTGCCATCCTGTGAGAATGCAACAGAATTCACCCAATCTGTGTGGCCCTTCAGCTCAGCCTCCACCTTGCCTGTGGTCACATTCCAAATTCGGACCATTTTGTCATCTGATCCAGAGACAACTCGGCTGCCATCCTGCAAGAATGCAACAGAATTCACCTGATCTGTGTGGCCCTTCAGCTCAGCCTCCACCTCACCCGTCATCACATTCCAAATTCGGACTGTTTCGTCATGTGATCCAGAGACAACTCGGCTGCCATCCTGTGAGAATGCGACAGAATTCACCTGATCTGTGTGGCCCTTCAGCTCAGCCTCCACCCCACCTGTCATCACATTCCAAATTCGGACAGTTCTGTCACTCGATCCAGAGACAACTCGGCTGCCATCGTGTGAGAATCCAACAGATAGTACCAGTGACCCATTTTGCATGATCAGCTCTGCAGGGTCCCACAAGTCTGATAATCCAAGAGTCACTTTTGGAACTCTGCTGACATGGGCAGTGTAGGTCTTGCGTATCAATGAATTCTTTGGAATCCAAATAAGTGCAGACTCATAGCTCTCCATGCAATGTTTCTGGACAGCTTCAAAGTTCATTTGTAAACACCGGCAGGCATCGTGAACAAGTAACTGAAAGTCATGGAATTTGAAGGCCTGTCAATCAGAATATTATTAGACTCACAATGCTTTCTCCTTCATTCTGGCAGATAACTTACCAATAAAACAGTGGCTATGCTACTCAGGGATTTCAGTCCAGTCTGCAGCTCACCCAGTATGCTGAGACACTCTATCCAGTGCAAAAGATGCTTGTGCAGAAAAACACCAAGAGTGTCAACAAGTACAGAGTCAAATTCTTTGACCTCTGCTAAATGATCAGCCCAATAAGTGCATGAGTATTTGAGCGCTTCAGAAATTTTGCCAGCATTCTCTAGAGAGTTGGCCCTGTCTCTGCGTGACAATATCAATTCTTTGGGGACTTCACATATGTTGTGCTTCAGTGACTTGTTCATCAGCATCAAACATTTGAGAGCAATCAGTGTATGACCCTTGGAAGCAACCAGTGAAGGAAATGATGGGCAACGCTCAGGAGAACACCGGACTGGATTGGTGATGAAGTCAGGAAATGAGGCATGGAATGGAGCAATGACAGCCCCAGGTTGATCAGGAATGTGAATAACAGAGGTGAGCCATGACAAATACAACTGCACGTCGCTTTCTGGTGATAGAGATGTGATGGCTTCCATCGACAACGGATTTTGAAGGAATATGGTGATGGACAAGACATTTCTCATATCTTCAACTTCATCCAGCTCCTTGTCTTCACAGACCTTTTCCAAGACATGAACATAGAGAGAATCAATCTCAGCTTCGAACTTGTTGATGGATTTCTGGCCAAGGCTCAGCATTGCGGAAAGACGGCGCTTATAGTCCCCACCACCGCTGGTGATATAACGAATGGCAGTGGCTGCGTAAATGAAGAGCCTGCCGGAACTTGTGACGAGACTGGACAGTTCATCATTCTTGATGCCAGCCAATGATGTCCTGAGATATATCCGGATCATCAGCAAAACAGCAACAACCTCGGTTTACCTTGGAGGCTTTGTAATCTTCGCAAAACTTTGCAATGTTTTGCTCCACCTTCCAATGTTGTAGAATTATATGATGAACTGTAGAAAGGATGTCAAACTATCTAGGACTATATAAGATTGAACCGAGGTTGCCGAGTGAATGTAAGGTTGAAGTAATCTTTGTAACGACATTGGAAAGTCGACTGAAAGATTTTTAAACATTCTAAAGTTCATCCAATATAGAATATAATACATATAATACGTTACAAGTCTGCGAAGCCGTCAGACCCGTCATCTGAGAACTCGTCAACCTCATCCGTTGAGTCACCGATATCCATCTCATCAACCTCAGACTCGTCTTCGTCCTCGTACCCATAGTCACCCTTCTCCCCATCACACGATGAACCTTCGTCCTCACCAGAGTCATCCTCGCCACTCCCTATATCCCCAGTTGCCTCTACCCCATCCATATCTTCTTCTTCAGCCCCATCATCCATCTGTTCAACTTGCTCCTCAGTGTCGTCCTCCACAACAAGATCCTGTGGGGCAGCGGGGGGGCGAAGTCGTGGGTAGCTTTATGTCCTATACCCCCGCCGAGATACCTCATCACCATATCTCGATCAGCAAACCTAAAGGAATGTAAGCACAATAAAGTGAAAAATGAATTAAAGAAAACTTACATGCCGACGTAATATCTGAGCCACTCCTCCTCGTCTTTTTGGTTGTGAGCAATGGAACGGCCCAGGAGTTCTCGGGAACGGCCTTGTGAAAAAGCAGGCATGAGATGTGCGGCTCGAATGATATCGTTGGGGTCCAAGAATCCGAATGCGCGGTCCTCATTTCCGTCGAAAAATCCGATGCGGGGCAAACGACGGGCTTTGAATCCGCTGCGATACTCGGTGTCGTGACCAAACCAACGAACCCACAGGAAGTCCATCGTGTGAGTGTCGCCTGGTGATGTTGACTTGGGATCAACGTGAAAGACGTTGGCATGGAAGATGCCGATGATACGAGCATACCAATACGGATGTGATTCCGAAGTCCCAGGTTCTTCGTTCGCGAGGACCATGATGTCGCAGTGCTCAGAATAAGGGTTCAGGGTATCCTGCAGTCACCGCATGTCATAGCTGGTGTAATTTATGCGTAAGGTCCTGTGTTTGTAGAGTCTGTCGTGTTCAAATCGGATTGTTGATAGATCTTGATCCGTGAAGGTGTTGTCATTGTTCTTGGTACCCAGAATTCGTGCCAGAAGATGTTCTTTGAGCAAAGGCATAAAATTCTATCATGTCTTCAGCATATGAAAGTGAGATACAGACCAGGAATAAGTAACTCACACGAAGTGCGGGGTCACCCGCATTTTCTGACAGAAACTTCGGAATACGCTCGAATGATTTTGCCGAGTCGGAAATTTGATAGTGATCTTTTGGCGTAATATTTGGGAGAGGGTCGTCAACAATGTTCGGAATTGAGTGGGCGCTACTTTGGCGGTAACACTTGGGGTCTGGTGCGCCGTCCGCTGAATGTTCCGAAGCTTCACGTTGCCGCTTTTCTTTCAAACTTGCATTGCGCAGAAAACGTTGCCGACGTTCCTGTTTGGTAATTTGCCTCTTGAAACCAAATGTTTTGTTTGTGCGTGCGTAGAAACATTTGACCCGCCGATGCTCAAGTTCACCCTAAGTAGAAGTTAGTTGGAGAACTCAAGTAAGGTTGTCGACATACCACTTGTGTTGAAAAATTATCTGTTGTACCATAACGCAATATTGCAAGAACGTAGTCACCGAGCGCGTGGAGCTTATAAGTGAGGAGGTTGAAGTATTTTTGGAACGACTTCT